TGAAAAGTAGAAGTCTCAAGATGTGTCTGATTTTTTTTTTGACAGTGCAAAACAAATGGATCAAGAGATCCTGCTTCATTATTATAAAGCTACTAAAATTTACCTAATTTTCTCTTCTGTGAGACTTGCAGATACTTTTTTCACCATTTTGCTAATGAATTGTTTGACATTTTAGGTTGCCCTAGATTCAGCAGAACCAACTGTCTTGCGGTTTACTTGGCTCAAACCTAACTGCGATGAGGGCGTTGCTCCCATTGACGGCTACGAGTACTTGGTAAGTAACACTTGCAACAAATTGATAATTTGCTCCAATTTCTGAATTTGATGCTTTAAGATCCACGAAGTAGATCGGCAACCTCCTCCTGCATCATATGTAGGTGGCACAGCGGTTGCCATACCTGATCTTCGACCATCTACCAAATACGCATTCCGCGTTAGGTCAAGAAATGCTAATGGACATTCTCCGTGGAGCGAGACCATCCATGTCGCTACCGAAGCCGAAGGAGCAGCATTGACTGGTACGTTAGGGATTTATTCAGAAAAGCTCACTTCTAATCTAGCAACTAACAATTTTTGGGTTCGCTAAGCGCCCCCAGTTTTGTTATTTTTTCTAATCCTCTTCTAATCAATCCTAGATCTTACCAAACTAATCAACACTAACAGCCATGTGCAAATTTGGAATCGGAGCAAACGTCAAGCAAAAAACTCCATAACAGGTACATCTCCATTCTTAACCTACACTGGAGGGGTTACGGTGGATGACATCTGCTTCAGATGGAAATAACTTCTATAAAGTCCGTGTTGTACTGTCGCCACCGAAGGTGTACCTTGTTTGGACGCCATTATTTGAGCACATTAACCGCGTCGCGTATTTCAAGTACGTGAATTTGCGTTTCTCACCGCTATCAGGAAACTGTCGGGACACCTACAGTACTAACAGCACCATTCAGCCTTACAGAGTTGCCTATAAGGAACGAGCTGGCACCAGATGGTCGAGGGTGGTCGGACCTCCGAGCCAATTCCGCTGCCCCGGAGATGTCGGCGCTGATGCTTTCGATTTTTGTTTTCCGCTGGAGCATCTCTTCTTTGGCGTACACTACCTCAGCAGAGTAACCAACTATAAAATGACAAATTCTTCTCGCAAGAAAGGCCTTTAGGTCTCCTATAATCTAACCAATGGAGACGTTGTGGACGGAGGAAGCACACTTCACTTTTCACTCTTGCAATTAGGTATACTAACCTTGGCATGCATTAATCCTCATTGTTCCGTGACAGACACGTGTCATCGCCGTGCTAATGCCATGCCGGAAAGATGATAATTTCGCGTGGCTCCGGGCACAGCGTTAGCACGGTGTTAGAGCGGCGCTGGCACAGCATCGGCACGCGGACAATGAGACGCTTCCTAAAATGCAGTGTTCACGCAGAATTGGGACCTGGATTATGATGTACTAGTACTGTTAAGTGTTATATAGCTGAAAGATACCAGACGTTCATATGATCCTGAAGGAGACCCGGATGGCGATTGTTCTAAGGAAACAACTAATCAGCGTGCTGGATAACTGTAGATAAAACTACGGTTTGGGTTGGAGTTTGAAGTTGAATTTCTTACCCGCGGATGCATCATATGAAGGGTTACTAGGCACTGGTTCATACAGACTTTTTAATCAGTTTCCGCATAAAAAGCCCAGGTAAACAATTTTGCCTGGACATTGTTTCTAACGTCATGTAAACTTGACTGTGGTCTCTTTCACTTCTGAGTTTGCATGCTCTAGCATGTCTTTGTTTAAAGCATGACTTATGCTTTTCTTGAGCTTACGCCTCCCAAAAATTTTTGAAAAATTGTTCCCTTGTAGAAGGAGTACAACAACACCCCCGTTACCAAATTACTATCACACAACCCCGAATCGAACAGCAAGGACATCGCAATGATGCTTACTGGTCCACCACTGGAGATACTTCTCAATTGCTTGGCTACCAGGTAAATTAAGTTTTGAGTAAAATAAGTAACGAAAACGTTTGCTTCCAGGTTGACATCCGACGCGATGGTGATCGTGATTGGCACGAGCATGGATCTCTGATCCGCTCAGAACCATCTCAGGTTCATTTCCGCCAGTCACTTGGCACTGTGCCAGTGGCTACTTACTATCTGAGAGTTAGAGCAGTGGACGGTAGCATGAGTACGGTAGCTACATCACCGAGCACCAGTTTCTCGGTTTCTTGTCAGGGTGAGCGAAGTAACACCACCAAAAAATCAAAACAGAAAGTTGAAGAAAATTTTGGAAGAAAGCAAGCACATTTTCTGGCAGTCTGCGATTTTTTTGTCTGAAAAAAGACGATT